AAAAAAAAAAAAAAAAAAAAAAAAAAAAAAAGGAGGAGAAAATGTGGAAATAAAGAAAAGGAAAGGAAGAAAGGAGGAAAGGAATATTTGAAAAATTCAGTTGGCAAAATTCCACTCTAAAATAAATTTTAATTTAAAATTGTCGTCTTTCAGGAAACGAAGCTGCATTGTTCAATCTCGTTTTATTTAGTGTTTTTGTGTTTTCGAATTTGGTAGGGCATATCTTGCATTCTGTTGCCTTCGCCACATTATGCTACACTTTTGTCTCGATTTACTGACAAATTTTACGGCAGATAACGTTCTTACGAGATTCTTAGTCCTTGACGTGATTTTTTTAAAATTTTGTAAAGCAAAGTTTTCTAATAAAGCAAAAACGTAAAAAACGACATGCTTAAGGGGAAGGGAACTGGAGTACTGTTGTCAGCTTAGAATTGAAATCTGAAGCAGTTCTTTATTACCACTTTTCCGGGGTTTTTTTGTAATAAGAAGTCTCTTTCAGACTTATTTCTAAAAAAAATTTTCATGACAGGGGGGTGACCGTTACTGATTTGCCGTCGTTTAACCGCTGATAGTTCTTGATCTGGTGTAAGGCGTCTAGCACCTTAATCTGTCTTGGTATTTGCAGCGCTACTGTTATAAACTAATATCAAGGGGGCCATGTTTTTTAAGTTTGAAGCGGAATTGTTTCAGTTCTTTGTGCTCTTCGTCTCAATCATGACAATCATAGATTTTTTACCAGGAGTATAGAGGGTTATTTTGTCCCACCAAGTGTCTTCTTTCTAACTTCTATAAAAATTATTCTTAGTCCATTTAAAACCATTATTCTCTTCTTCAAATAAATATTCTTCCGCCGCCACTTCCCTGTTCTGAATCCCTTTCACTGTTTAGTTGGTCAATGCCGCAGTGTAATAGAAGTAATCATAATCAACTGATTTTGAAGAACCAATCGCTTCTTACTCCTTAAAGTATTGATAAGCACTTTAATCATCTGATCAGCTTCATAACTCTCATCCTGACTTCTACCACATTAATTCTTTGAGGACCATTGGAATTCATCTGCTGCGCATCGGAAACCGTTTGCCACCACTCCCTCCGTAGACTTCATTGAGCAATAATGTGCCTAGAAACGTGGGGGTAGATTTATAGCAGTGTGTTCCTGGCTGACTGGATCGAATGCCTTTAAAACGCCATCTACCTTAAAAATGAATATGAAAAAACTCAAAAGCGGTTTCTCCTCTTCCTCTAACCCTGAGACATGTATGAATACACGCCAAAAAGATATGAGTGGTTATAGAAAAAGTTGCCGCGAAGCGTAAATTCGCTGAGTAAAAGTGAAGCGGCGTACCTCTTCTGGTCCCTTATTCAAAATTAATTTTTATTAATTTTCTTTTACGTATTGAGACATCAGACGTATATAGACTGAAATGTTACGAAGCGTACTCAAAGTACGTAATTACTGATATGATTATTTTAAACAAAAAATCAAAACAACAGAAAAGGAACGGTAGGAAAATACTGCTCATTATGATATCTGAATTTTAAAAGCCTGTTAGGATCTTACCTTATTCCCTAATTGACCGTGCGATCTCCTGTATAGCGAAAGTTTTGTAGTTGGCGACATTCCACACTCCTGCTATTCTACTGATTATTTTTCGTGATGAAAGTTACTTTGGCGGAATACGCTTCTGCAGAATACTGCAGTTCTCACTGCAACACTGTTTTAAAGAAGCAATAGAGAAATGTTTATGAGCGTAATAAATTTTACTCTTTCCAGTTTTTTCGGCTGGCATATTCTGCTTTTGCTCCTCAGTGTATGTCCTAAAATGAAGTACTTTTTCAGTTGTGAGCGGAGAGTATGGACTTCTTAAACTGATTGGACGAAAAAGTGCGTTGAAGTTCTCCTGTCTGACGTCGCTTGAAAGAAGTGTCTTTTTTAAAGTCACTTTCACAACATTGAACGCCTCAAAAGTATTACTGTATTTGTTAAGAAACAAGTAAGCTAAATGTAATGTCTGTTTCCTCTGTAAGCTCAGATTATGACGATGGTTTCGGTGCTACCGAGAATGAAAATGAAGATGTGGATTTTTACGGAATTTTGAATGTTCCGAGAAATGTAGGTTTTATTTGATTTCTTTCATTTTTTCGTTTATTACAGCTTCTCTTACTTCACCAACTTAATGTTGTAGGCATTTATTGGAAAGAATTTCCTGATTTTGCTGAGGATTTCTTCTCTTTTACAAATAATTTGGTCTTGCTTTTCTAGGCCTCCTTAGATGAAATCAACAAAGCGTACCGACAGAAATGCAAAATTTTTCATCCTGATCGTCATATTGCTGATGAGGACAAAAAAGCCGCTGAGAAACACTTTGTATGGCTTCGAAAGGCACACGAAAGTAAAATCAAAAGTGTTAAGCTTTTTATTTTTTTATAAGTCTCATTTCTGAGTTTTCGTCTTTTTATTTATATACTCATGCTCGTTTCCTCTTGGTTGACGAAGATTTAAGGAGACCTTAATGATACTCGCTAAAGGCGGACAAGCTTTTCATTCCCCTTCTATGGTATTTAAATTGTTTTAGAATCATTTTAAGAATATATGGTTTCTTTTGACGTAGTGTCGTTACTGGGATTATTTCAAGGTTCTTTGGCGAATTGTTTTTCATTTTTTAACTGTGATTGTTGCTGCTTTTTTACCGAATTTGGGTTTCAGCGCTGTCTAATCAAAGGCTTCGAACAATTTATGATACAGTTGGTGTTAAAGGGTTGGAGCTGCAGGGATGGGAGTTGATTTCAAAGTCATGTACGAGTGAAAATATTAGAAGGGAATACGAATTTCTTAGGAAACTAAGAGATGCGGAAATTATGTTACAGAAAGTTCATCCAACAGTATGTTTTTTCATATTATGCATTTTTTATTTCAGATGAAAGACTGTAGTTTTTTTGCCATACCAGTTTTTATTTTCAGTTGAGAGTCATGTTTGGTTGTTTCGTTATTTCACAATTTACCATATGCTTTTTATTAAATAATAGCAGTCATCTTCTGTTCTACTACGTTGGAAGTCATTCATTTGCAATATGGTTGACTCGTATACCATCATTCCACTAATTTGTTTCAGTCAACCTTCGCTTGCAAAACTTCCCTTATTGGAGTTTTCTCCAGAGATCCTGCGGAGAGGTGCGTGTTTGTGTATCTTCTTATATTTAATAATCAGGTAGAAGTTAAAGAAGCGTTTAGGTTTACTGAGGGTTTTGTTATTTTTGAACTATATTTTCCGAGTTCTTTCAATAATTCAGTTTTACGACAAATAGAAGGGAAATTACCATTAATTTGACTTGACTGGTAGGAGTATTGTAGGTTTGCATCTTCATAAAATTTTTTTCAACAGTGTTTTTTGTAGTTGGTGGAAGGTCTTTGGCTGTGGAATGAATTTTGATTCCGAGTTGGTAGAATATTAATGTTATTTGCCATTTATTGTTCTTTTTTGATACCAAGACCAGTTCCATTACTAAGTCTTGACTTTAAGAGATTTTTTTATTGTTGGCTTGTAAAGCATTCGTAATATTTATAACACTTGTTTTCGTAGGTCTCCTCCTCAGTTTATTGGGGCTACTCAAATGCAAAGCGTTGAGTGCACTATAAGTGAAACTGATAAAATCGGTTTACTAGGACGAGTTAAAATGAACAATGGAAAAGGAGACGGTAGCGTCACAATGCATTGGGCTAGGTCTATTCCGTCGCTCAGTGTATTCGAAGTTGGTTATCATGTTTATTTGTTAATTTTTATCTTCCTTGCACGTAATTATCCTTATTTGTTGCAGACCGCTCTGACGCTGGCACCTGGGAATTTTTCACTAACAGGGAAAATTGCAAAGAATTTTTTTTCGCGAGCAGTGGTAGTTTTTCAACCGTCATTACTGTTCTTTCCTCTTCAAGGTGTAGTGGCTCCAAGTTGTTCATTAGGTTTGATTATTTTTGAGATTAAAATAGCCTTCAATTAATGTCACTATTCATAACTCACATTTAGTGCTCCAGAATTTTTTTAGCTTATACCATGCGTTTAACTGCTGCTTGGCAAGGAACAATGGCTTTTCAGTTTGGCTCTCAGAAGGCGTTGGTAACTTCTATAATAAAAGCTGAAGAAAATTTACCAAAATTCCTATTTGCCTTGACTGTAAGTTCTGTGTTGTGCTGTTTAAGTTTTTAGCAGTTATGAAATTTGATGTTAATACTTTTTTATAGCTCTCAGGTCAAAATTCTAACATTCGTACGTCCTATACGTGGCGAATGCCTGAAAAAGAGTCGTTCTGTGAAGCATCATGTATTTTTGGTCTCTTTGGCGCGTCTCCGTCTATTGCTTTCGAACAGCGTCTTTCACGTTATTCGCGAGTCGGGTGCAGTCTTTCATTAACGGTTCCCATGTGCCTTCTTAACGGAAAATTCAAGTTAGCTGGAAAATATATTCTTTTAGAACTTTTTTTTTTAATTTTCTGATATATAAACCTTTAAAAATTTTTTGGACCTAGGTTTTTGACTTAACCTTGTGGTAATGTAACTTTTAACGTTTCTCAGGATTAAAACTGGAAATTCAATTTTTGAGTGGCAGTTTGCTCTGTGTGACAACAAAGACGATCTTTCTCGGTCAGTCGTTTTTGGTGTTATCATACCGTTTGTAACATTCACTATTTTAAAAGCAGTATTCCGTGGAACGTATGAGCGTCTTATGTCGCTCTTGGAAGATCGTACTGAAGAAAGATTGGTATGGAGTTATAGTTTCCTCTTCCATTTCTCTGTTGTTGTTGCGTATTTTGAACAATTTTTTTACCTCAAAAGCTTCGTCCACTCAATCTTTTTTTACTAAAGGTGGATAGTGTGAAACGAGAAGATGCAAAGAATATTGTCAATTTAATGAGACGTACTGCTGAACGTATAACGCGTGAAGAAGAAGCTCAGAACGGTTTGGTGATTGTGGAAGCAAAATACGGTGAAATGATTGGTGAAGGACGTATTGCAGCGTTATACCCTTTGTTAGGCGACAGAACAGTTGATGTTACCATCCCCCTCCAAGCGATGGTTAACAACTCTCAGTTGCGTATTTACTCCGTTAAGGTCAGTTCTAATGTGATACGCTTATTTAGACTTTCTATGCATAAATCCTGTTAGCGCAACTCGTTCAAGATCTAGGTGGTTTCAAACTTTTTTGGTTATCGAAAAGTTTTTCATCTGGGTTCTGAAGTGTTATTTGTGGAGTTTTTTCTTTTTTTTAAGTTTCAAATTTCTAAGTTGGTAGCTATGGGGTATTTATGGAACTCGAAAAATAGTCTTGGCAATTGAGATTTATGGCTAAATTTTATAAGTATATAAATATATTTTACTGTAGAGTCAGCTGCCCGGTTTCTACGATCCCTGTCCCATGGATCCAAAGATGTTACGAGTTGTTTATAAGTATCGCGGCCACATGCATACGGTGTCTGTCGCAGATGAAATGGCTCTTCAAATACCGATGTCATGTGAGGAATCTTGCTTTCATTCACTTTCACCCCTACTTTTTGTAAAAAAATTGAATAAAGTTTTTTTTTTTTTTTCAGCTCATCGTAATTAGTCTTAAGCTGGATTCTAAAGGTCGTCATCGTAATACGGTCATCCTTGAAATCTCTAGAGATAGATATTGAGTAGTTGTAACATTTGGAAGCCTTAATGTAATTGTGATAACAAGGTACTCTATATTTTATTCTATTTAGATACAGTTAAATCATGCCTACATTAAAAGTGCGAAATCGAATGAACTTATCCTTTTTGTATTAGAGTTTCTGAAGCTTTTGTTAAAAAAATATTTTGTTGCAGCTAACTTAGAGAGTTTTAAGTTTGTCATTTATTTCATATGTATATTTGCCTCTTTTCGCATAAGTTTCTAGGTTTCTGTTTCTTCCAAGCGTCGAAAAGGGTCGTTATTGTGGACGCATTTCTTAGCTGTAGTTTGAGACTAGTTGGTTTTTAAGAGATTATTCAGTCACTGACTTGTTCCTTACAAGTTTTTAGCAGTTATAGGTCTAGCACTTTATAGTGGACGTTACCGTTTTTCCTATATTCAAGTAGAATTATGCATGATATTGTATGTTTATTTGAAAAAGAAGCGATGAAATTTTTTATAGATTCAATTACTTGTTGTTTTTCTTAATTAATTAAAGAAATATATTGTAATAAGTTTGAGAATGTGATCATGATTAAATAGCTTGATCTTTTAAAATAATTTATTACTCGTTGTTGTTAATGATTTATGCCTGTTTCAACTTTGTTATTTGACAGTTGTTCTTCTAGTAGAACGTTAGTGGCATGAGTGAATTGTTTGTTTTCTTTTTTTTTCTTTTTTTGAAGATTTATTTCCTTAGTTTGAGGAAGGATTTTGAATGCCGTTGAGTTATTTGTTTTTTTGTAAGTGGATAAAGTTTTGGATTTTTAGTCCAGCATGGGAACGGTGAAATTGAGGGTTAGGTTTTTCCTTGTAGCTGGATAATTTCATTTATACACTCAGTTTTGCCTTCATTACATTGGTAACGGTGTGGTTCACACATGGGCTGAATTGTACTAAAACTGGATTTTAATTATTTGCGACTAAAGCTGCTACAAAAGTGGTGGTTCACTGATGGATTTGGCAAAAAGGCTTTTTACTGAATAGTTACTGGCAATAAACATTTGGAGATAATGCGAGAGTAAAGTTGGGATGCTGTAATTATGAAGCAATTTTCTGTTGACACCAGCATCTTTTGAACGTATTCGTGGTTGTTCTCTTTTCCGGAACTTCTATTAAATCTAGGTTTCTCGTTTGTACTATGACTTTTAAATAATTAAATGTTCACTTCCGGTTGATTAACTTGGTCAAAATCTTAAGTATCTGTAAAGCAGTTTGAGAGGCTGACAAGAAGTATTTTCACACTACGTGGTGACAAAGGGTATCACTGGGGAAATTAATAAAGGATGTCAGTTTTGACTGCCTATTAAGCGGTGCGAAGTTACGGAGGTCGTTGGTATGTCAATTGGTGTGATCTTTCAGCTTATTGTTTTGTCATTTTATTAAGGGTCGTTCTTCTGACCAAGCGCTGTTTTCGTGCTTAGTATAAAAAATTTACTTTTCCTCAGGTCCAGCGAGCGTTGAGTGGGACATGCCAGTTAGGTATTTTCATGCTGTCCAAATTTTTTATTGTGCTGATTGTTCTTATTTTCAACTGTTACGATGAAGAATGCGGAGAACTTGTGTTGGAGTTTTCCATTTGTAACAAGTCTGCCATTACTTTTAATCCATATAAGTTTCAATTCAGAATTAGTTAAAGTATTGGAGTAGGATGGGAAATTGTTTAGAGTTTCAAGGGTTTTTTGGCGAGGTAGCTGGAAGTTAGAAATGTAAAAGCGTTTCTTATCCAAAAGTCTATGGAAGTGCACTGTTGAGCTTGGCTTTTTTAGTGTAATTGGGTAGATAGTATTTTCTAATATTCTTGGATTAGTGTCAGCACTTGACAAATGGCCACTGGCAATTAACAGAGATGCAACTGTCCGCAAAATTCTTATTACATTATAGCACTCCAAGTTACCCACGTAAAATTCAAATATTGAAGTGTCTAAATGACAAAAAAATTATATATTCAATTGCTTGAACTCAATATTTGGCCAAACAAATAAACATTCGACCGAAAATGGTCAAAATCATCTTTACAAGGAGACTAAAATTCTCAGGGGCAGTTAAACAATATCCAAGTTAAAAAGAGTTCTCAATTTTAATTCTCGCTAGTCTTCCAGTTTTCCTTGGCTTTTTCGAGATATGGCAGCTTCAGGATTTAGTTGTCTAGTTCCCTTTGTTGTATCTTACCTATTGCTTGATTAAAGCTTTAATTTTTTTCCTTCTCTGTTTATTGTTTCCTAATTTTATTGTCCCACTGACTGATGTTACTATTTTTGAGTTAATAAACGTAAGTTCCTAGGATTTAACCAAAAAAGTGATGGTTCATTGCTTTAAGACAGGACAGAATTTTAAGGAGCGAGCTGCTACAGCTTTATAACCTCTGGAACTGCAAACCATAGGACTTGATATTACTGATATAATTTTTGCAGTTTTGTAATAATTCAGATTTCATGAAAGTCACGACTTTGAACTGTTATAATGAATATCTTTGAGATTACATGACTTAACTAGTTTAGCACAGAGGACATAAATTTAGGATTTTGTGCCTCGCCACAAATGCAACAACAAAAATATACATTTTTTTTTATTTTTGCGAATTTGCCAAGGAGCTTCGTGACATTCAGATGCTATGTTGGTGATCGGAATTGCTTATCATAGCCAGCTGGATTTGGTTAGCGTGCTGGTGGAGTTCCTTGGGTAGCGTTACGAAAGTACAAAGGTATAAAATTTGGCATTTGGTAAAAAACGAGAGTTTGCAATTCTCCAATGACGTGAGCCCAGGTTAAAATTAAACTATGTAGTCGATTGTCTTGAATGAACGCGCTAATCAATTTTTCTGTGCTTTTCACCCAGCTCTACGGCTTTCGTAGTCAGTTATTATTCAGCCGTCTATCTCTGTGTAAGAAATTTTCAAAAAATGGTCTGTCTGGGGTTACTCTAGAAACATTATTTTTTTAAGAGTTTTTACACGTGTTGTTCTAGGACCAAATGTTATTTTTCTGATGCCGATTCTCTATGGTTACTTGATGGAAACTGTGGGGAAGGCTAACACCTTAACAAATTCAACTGGCTTTAAATGCACAAGAAGGTTGGCTGATAGTGAGTGGGAAAATTTGGAGATTACAAGAGAAGCATTTTTTGTTATGCATTGACTCGTTTTATTTTTCATCTCGTTTACGCCTGGAAACTCTGATAACTTAGTTGCACCTCTTTCATAAATTCCATTGACTTTGTCTTCGCAGGACAGACCGCTACGACATTATAAGAAATTTCTAAAATTGCTAAAAAAGAATATTTTTCCGTTAGGTTTTTCGAGTCCCAAGATCCATTCAGCTATGTCTTACATAAATTTCAGCAAACTTTATTCTTAAAGTGTTCTTAGTCGTTCTTTTAGTTCTTTTTTTTTCATGCAGTCGTCAGAAGTTTCCACTTCAAATCAGGCACTACATTAATTGCGCCAGTGGTTTTAATACCTGAAGTTTGGGTTGCAAAGAGACGTTATTTTAAAGAATTGCTTGAACGAAAGAAATCATTATGATAGTTTTTTGAGAGATTTAAATTATATACCTGTTACTGAACTAGTAGAACTGAAGCACATCTTAGTACATTGTATGTTATTATGTTCGGTAACCTTTCAGTTGAAATGAGGGTCCTGCCACTCAAAGAATACGCCAGCGGCTGCCGAATCCTAATGCCATTGATTCTACAGTAACTTGCGTTACCACAATAATATAGTCTTGTAATTTTAATATTTTACAGAAAAAAAATGAGGCTTTCAAAAAATATATCTTCCTAAAAAAACTTAGAAGACAGTTTTTTTAAGATACAACATTTACGTTTATTGTAAGCTTATGCCTGGTTTGCTGTTACGAGCATTTCGAAACTTCTCTGAGATTATAGGAGAGAGGCGTTCAAAAAAACTATTCTCAAAACTCATTTCGAAAGAACAGAATTGCAATTTTTTAATGATGAGGATGTTTAGCAAAAACTAAGTTTTTTGCACTCTAGAACTGTCTAACTTTGTCGCCAACAGAAGTATACTAGAACAAAACGTGCTACTTGGCGTGGAACGGCCCACATATTTAGCAAAGCCGTTACCAAAGCTCCATGCTACAGAAGGCAGCGGCTTATTTTTCCTGTATTCTTGACATATTTAATTAGCCAAAAACCGTTGACAGGAATTCTTGATGTGTCTTTCAATTTCAGTTTAATGTAAAAATTATTGCCTTTGAGAAATACGGCAACTGTTGGGCGATACTCACGCACAGCTTGAATTAATACATTATCATTTTGGTGGTCAGCACTGTTGGTTATCTTGACAAAATCAAAACGAGGACCAGTTTTCACAAAGCATTCACCTTCTTTACTTTCATCTGGACGCATCAAATAACCAGGGGAACCAAATGGATCACAACATTCTGTCACTGCCCAACCTACACTTCATCACTCATATTTTTTACTACCGGCAGGTTCAAATAGAAAACTGACCAGATATTTTCGATCAGGTTCCAAACCACTAATCTCGTACTGTAATTTTGGAAGCATATTGCTGCCATTTTTGGTAAGCGCTATTTTGGTCCCAACCTCACAAATTTTCTTCATATCTCCTCATTGGCAATTGATACCGTGACTTTGCTCGCAGAATTCGTAGTGTTGGATTGGTGCAGTAGCAGTCCCATCCCCAATTTATCGCTGAGAATCTCGTCGGAATGAAATCCTTATCTGGTGGGACAATTCCAACTTCCCAAAAGCGGAGCTTGATACAGATATGGAATTAGGTTAGTCTCGTTCATTCATGCTGCTCATTCTGGGAAGATTTTATAGTCATGAGAACGCGTTGAGGACGGGCAATAGAAACCAGGCAGTCGGAGTGAAAATCACCTGTCGGTTTTCAGTTTTTAAGTGTTGTTCTTTTAAGCTAGTCCATTTTACTTGTACGAACGCACTGCAGCTTTAAAATACTCGTTTATTCATGGTGTTCATTCTGGGGCAGAATATGCTTACTGAAAATTCCTGAGTACGGATTACCCAAATATTTTAGTTTGATTAAAGGTTACTTTTGGATTTTTTAACCTGTCTTTCTTGCATAAACCACTGTGTTTTTTAAGAACGTATAGGAGTTTGCGGTGCAATTTTGTGATGTAGTATCAGAAACTCCTTCTTACACACTCCTGAAAAAGTGCAAAGGAATGCAAAAAAAACCAATATACAATTCAAAGAAACAAGTATTAACTCCTCTCCCAAATCAAACTAAAATGACAATGCGTGACTCAAAACTGACTTATAACCCTTGATTGGACTAGCTCAGTTCAACCGCTCGTTCTCAATGCATGCTAATTATGCTATAGTCATCAGCCTTCCCAAAAAGGACATCCTGAACAAACGGAAATCGATCCAGAATCATATCCATGCCAAGCTTCACTTTCAAAGAGTTGGGATTGTTCTAGCAGACACGGGTTCCATTCTGGCGAAATTTTCAGCGGTGGGCTGAAAATGAAAAGGCCTTTTTGTAGCATGCTGGCAATAAAGTTAAACTGTTCTTATATGTAGAAAATACTCTATATGTGGCAATAGCTTATCTTTTAAAAAGAGCGTGTGCGGCCAGCAAAGTGATGATATTCTATCAAGTAATGCTTTGCTGGTTGTAGCGCTGTTTCACCTATTGTGTTTTTTCACGGCAGAGACTTATAATTCTGTTCATTCACAACAAATTTTTTAAATTCAAAATTAATTTAAAAAACACCTGCAACACGCTCACGGAACTGATGGAACGGATGTATTGTCACATTATATAAAAAGTTAGGATATTAAAAGGATTCAGAACGTCATTTTTGAAAAACTGACTATTCAAATTTTTTAAAGAAGACGATTTTTTTAAAGACTTAATTTTTGTGCGAAATTTTAAAACCCCAAGTCAAAATTCTTATGGTGTCAGGGGCAACAAGCCGGAGTGCAGAAAACCTTTATTTAGCTTATAATCCTGGCCCGCTGCAAGCTACAGCATTTCGGTTCGAATTGAAATTTTGTTATATTGAGAAATGCTTTAACACGACTAGTTCATAACCGGGTGTTTAATTGGAAATTTTTTACTATTGAGTAATCTCTAAAAAAATTTTTTTTAATTGAATCACCATATTAATTGTTTCTTCGATTTTTATCACCTTAGTTCCTCTCTCAACTTTTCTGACTCGAAGAGATGAGGCGTTGCTGTAACCATCCCAAGAGTTCACTAACTTGCCAACTTCCTAGAAACTGCACAATGGTAGTTAAGGCGGTTACTGAGGAATACTACTGGACAGATAGAAAGCTATGATCTATTCATCTGCAATATATTTACTAGGGAATTTTACGATCCCTGCTACTTTTTCCATTAAATAAGATTGTCTGCTGTCCCAAAGGAGGAACATCACAGAAAATGTTTGAAAAAATCTCACAGGTTTTGTGGTTCACTTTACGGATTTTGTGGTGCTACTAAAAAGACTTGCAGCAGGAGTCACTGCGCAGAAGATGCTCATGCCAAGCGTTAAATGCCAAACAAAATTATAAAAATTCAAAAAGCCGTACTTACGACACTTTTTCTTCAAAAAAGGATCCTTCAAGGTAGCCAGCAGCTGAAAATTTTTAGTCAAGTATTTATTACCAAACTACCGGTGTCGAAACTGGAGCGGAAACGGCTGTTGCCGAAATGCTGCGTCAAATGAAGATTTTTTGCAGCTTACTCTCAATAACCGGATCGTTACGCATGATACAATAAAAGTTACGATTTCTGATCATAGTGTTTTTTACAAGAATTATATCTTCAAAAATATGCTTTTTAAAAAGTATTATGTATTAATTTTTTAAAAACGACGCTTTAAATTCTTGTTTTCTTTCATATTCTTAAAAAATTTATCGATTCACCCCTCTTAAGCGCTTTTTCGGGCTCATCGCAGATAAGACCTTGTAAACCAATCGTGTCGAACAGAATTATAAGCTTCTAAACGACGCCATTTTTGGCAAAAATTTTGTTTTTCCCGCTATTTGGCACTTTTAAGTACTTTTCTCTAATTTGGCGGAAATGCACTAAGTCCTACAGGTGAGCAAAGTTTGAAAAAAATCTGAATGTTGGGCCAAAAACTATGCGATTCAACGTGGGATGCTTTATAGAGTATATAATCTATATATACAAAATACACATATGTATTTACTGTGCTGCTGTAAACGATCAGCGCCGTTACAATGGTATGTATTTACAAGCGTTTTGCAGCTACGCGAGTTCATAATATTTCGCCTATGACGTAATTAGGACGCTCATTCTGAATGCTCGTACCACTTCTAAATGCGCACCTAACGTTATTTTGCAGCACTTGCCTCTATTTCGCACCGTACGCTGTTCTTTATCTGATCTAATTAGCTTTCAACTGGTAAATTGATAGACAGGCTGGTTTTTCTTACTTTCTTTCCCCTCCACCTCATTAAGCTCTCTTTCTGCTGCCCTATTCTCTCTCTCCTCACCGTATTTTTATGTGCTTCCAAAAATTGAGTAAAGAAAAAGCTAGTCGATCATATGATGTTTAAAGCACAGCGACTTACGAACGTGGCTATCCGAGCATTTAACCGTTTTGGCAATGTTCGGACCAGTTGCTCAAACCAACTGAGTTTTTGGCAAAAACGGTGTTCAAAAGGCACGCGTTCTGAAGACATGTCTAAGACAGAATTTTCTTCAATACAACCTCCAAACGTGATTGATGCAGGACTTGGAAAAATTTTGAGTGCATTATTGGGTACTCGCCAATTTGTAGAAAAAATTGCGTGCAATAGAGTACCATTTAACAAATAATGCTTATTACACTATAATCGGGGATGAGTCCACTGTATCTTCAGTTAATAAACACTGTCCAGCATCACCTCGGAGAAGTGTTCTAGTGCTTTATCAAAAACTGTGCTGCGTAAACCACCAGTCTGCACCTACTCACAAAAAATGTGCGATTTGAATGACGATACCTGAGCATCCAAAAGAACTGTCGATACTTCTAAGTTTTTCATACTACTTGAAAATTAATTTTCTAGCCACTTTTGTTTTTAGCTTTGTATTAAGAAAAAGTAGTTCATACTCAAATTTTTTAGTCGTGTTCGGCCATTGTACTATTCCTTCCAACACTAGTTTACATTTTTTTAAATCTTAACAAGGAATAAATTTTTTCTGAAACTGCATTTATTATTAATTGTGCAGTAAAAATCAAATTTTTAAATTTTTCTTCTTGTGAATCGCAGAATCAACTAACAACTATTTTACAAACGTGAGACTAACTACAAACGTATATTACAGAACCAATGAAATTCAGTTTATTAGGCAACAAAATGTGCTTTACTTTGCCCACAAAAATTTGAAACAGAAAAGGATGTTATAAAATTGAGCTGGAAAGACTTGAGAAATGCCGTACTAGTCTGTTTTCGTTTTCGGATAAAGGCATTTTTTTTTCAAAGAACATATAATAAACCTTACTACAGCATAAAAAGTCACCATAATGATTGCGAAAGATATGGTCAAAAACATCACAACATCGATAGAATAATATGTAATGAAACTTAGATTGACAGCAAAAGGTGTCAAATTAGGAAGTTTCTTAAAAGTAGCAATATACTCTGTCCAACGGACAAGTAACTCCTCGGGCTTAAAAGGCTTTTTCCGGATTAGATCGCGAATGTGTCTTGCTTTTCTGGAATAGCTAAAAGAAAGAGGAGCTCTAGTACAATTAATATGACAAGATATTTTTGGAGAAGCTCAAAAAAAGGGTGTGAACGGTAAATAAATTGTTATCTGAAAGAGCATAAAGTAACTGCACCTGTCATCTTCAAGTATTGACTTGATTGCGGCTGTAAGAACACTCTCAGAAATTTGATTCTTTTGAAGAACAATTCCAAGATGACGTTTTTCAGCAAGTTTCGCATTAGTAGGTTGGTCACCGAATAAAGGAATCGCTATTATTGGTATACCAGCGTTTATAGCTTCCTGCAGACTATTGTAACCCCCGTGAGAAATCAAAGCACGAGCTTTTTTATGATCTAAAAACAGAAGCTGTAGTAAGACCATAAAAGATTTTCAGTTTTAAGTATACTAATATCAGATAACCACATATGAGTGGCTTACGAATAAGGTCATTCTGCGGAAGCCAGCTGTAACAGTGCACATTCTGAGGAAGTTGCCCTTCTAAGTCTTTCCCGTCATAACGCATTATGAACTCCGTACTGGGGAAGTTCCTGATAGTTGCAATATACAGTGATTGATGTTATAAAAATTAATAACTGTGGTAAAGAAAAACATTGAAAAGTTTTAAAAGATCCTAGCGTTGCGACATCAGACTAAATCTCAGCTCAAGCAATATAGTGGTGCCCTTAGTCTGTTCCCAGAAGGAAGCTTTTAAAAGGCGTACGTTTAGTCATCGTCGCCTACCTCGTCATGTAAGCAGTGGAGATTAGAGGGCAGAGCAACATCGTCTACCTTACCTTCGTTCAAAGCATTAGCTTCTCGAAGTCGGTCGTTCTTTTATCCAGTACGCAACTTTTGGCATTGATTGTGTCCCTTCCGACCTTAGTATTTTATAATTTCTGGGTCGTGCATCCTGGCAGCTGATAGGGATTTTTGTTTTGTAAGTCTTGAATTACTGTTGTCTGTTTTCAGTTATTAGTTTAAAGTTGGTTTCTCTAAACTTTATTGTGTAGGTCGTTATTTTTGTAACTCTTTGTTAAGACTGTGCCAGATGGGGAAATAGATCAGTGTCGAATGAGTCTATCATTTGTCATGGTTACCCTGTGCATCAAGGTTGCGTTAGTTAGGGTGCTGCACTTGTGTCCATTGATTCCTCCTATCACTCTGTGAATAATACGCGAGGAATAAAAGGATTGTACAAATTAAGCGAGCACTCCGACACAAGAACATAGAGCGCTTGGTTATTGAGTCAGTCCACCGTTTATAGTGCTGAACTCCTTGAGCAGCCCTCAAACGGTTGGGCCTGTAGGCATCCGCTACTATCGACTGCTTACAGTAGTACGAGGACCTTCAGAGCTCTTTTTGCACATCGCCTCAGTTTTTCCTTCCCTCCAGCGAGAGGGACTTACTAAGAACGCCGTCCCACAGGATATGATACTGTGCCACCAATGCAAAAGGTTAAATCCTGCATAAGCCTAAAGTTGAGCAGCACTCACCTGCTCGGCTTGCCGCAAAGAAATAAGGCTAAAATCTAGCTTTGAATGGGGCCTTTACACAGTAACGCACCCAAGTGTGGACAGGTTTCTGAGACAAATATAGACAATGTAGACAATTCGGACCACACGTTGCAGTTGATTAATGAAAAGATACAGCGAATGCTCATGAGTCATTGCACATTGTAAAACAAAACAAGAATGTGGTGGAATAATGAGTTACCGTACGTCGTGAAGAGTCGGTGACTCGACGCAGGGGAGACAAGGCATTGGATGGAAGTGAACCCACTTGGTTCATTTGTCCGCTGGCCCTGTAAACTGAAAGCTGCTTTGAAGAGCGGCGCCCTTTTTGCGGAGGACTTCCAGAAATCAGATCACGCTCAAAAACGTAGTGGCGATCCGGAATTTCTGAAGATTATAACATTGCTCATTAGGAGCACTAGCTGTATACTTTTCAAAAACTTCGGATGAGAAATGGCACAGTGAGATGTACTTGAAAAAATCCCCTCACTTAAGCTGTGCAAGATGCCTGTCTAAGAGGGGCCGCACAATCCCATAACGCTCTCTGAGAACCACCATAAATTTCTGCCAAGGTGACTCAATGGCGTTTGTAGCACTGGTAACAGAACCGGTGAAGTGCAACACGTGGTTGGTAGTCAGGCGCTGCTGTCCTCCAGGCAGATTTCTTGCGTTATTATAAGCCGCTCACA